GACGTCAAAGCCTCCCTCCTCTCCTAGCTCCTCCCCCCTCCCTCCTCTCCTCGTCTCCTCTCCTCGTCTCCTCGTCTCCTTCTGCAGGTGACTCCAAGTCCACGAGAAAAAACAAGAACCTGACCAAGTTTTAGTCCTGGTTTAGTCCTGGTTTAGTCCTGGTTTAGTCCTGGTTTAGACCTGGTTTAGTCCTGGTTTAGTCCTGGTTTAGTCCTGGTTTAGTCCTGGTTTAGTCCTGGTTTAGTCCTGGTTTAGTTTCTGGTTTAGTCCTGGTTTAGTTTGGTTAGTTCTGGTTTAGTCTGGTTTAGTCTGGTTTAGTCTGGTTTAGTCCTGGTTTAGTCCTGGTTTAGTTCTGGTTTAGTTCTGGTTTAGTCCTGGTTTCTTTTTCTTGTTTTTCTCAGACGCGTGAAACTTTTCATTCATAAAACTCGTTCCTCCGCCGCACGGACCCGGACCAGGACCCGGACCAGGACCCGGACCAGGACCCGGACCAGGACCCGGACCAGGACCAGGACCAGCGTCAGACTTGGAGTTCGGGCGCCGCTTGTCCGCGCGGCTCCGGGTCCGTGCGGGAGACGCGCCGCGGCGTCGCTCCGTAACTTCACCTCGTGACGTCGTAGCGTGAAAGAGCGCGCACTCACCCGCCTCGGTCTCGTCTCCGGTCACCGCCATGTCCGGTGTGTCCCGCCAATAATCCAGCCTCGGCTCGTGAGCTCCGGTGCGCGCGCTGCCGCAGCTCTTCTGCCGCTCCGCCGCTCCGCTCCGCCCGCTCGCGTGCGTCCTCCGCGCGTCACCTCCTCTGCGCGCGCTCTTACGCACACGCCGCCGCTGACGTCACCGTGACGTCAGAGCGCGCTGAGGTCACCGGCCGCCAGAACAAAACAGAAGAGTCACGTGCGCGCGCGGGATTAAAGGATCTGATGTTGTCCTCCAGAACGAGACGCACGATTCATCTTCTGCTCATGTTCCAATGTTCCAATGTTCTAATGTTCTAATGTTCTAATGTTCTAATGTTCTAATGTTCTAATGTTCTAATGTTCTAATCTTCAAATGTTCTAATGTCCTAATGTTCTACTCTATGTTTCTAATGTTCTTAATGTTCCAATGTTCTAATGTTCTAATGTTTTTCTAATGTTCTAGTTCTAATCTGTTTCTGTTCTATGTTTCAGAACCAGAACATTCAGCCTCTGGTTCTTTTCTCACACTTCTGCAGTGTTGTAGAGTAACAGATTACAAGTACTGGAGTTATGTAATCAGAGTACAAATGATGAGTAACTGTATTCAGTTACAGTTACTGTTTCAGTGAGTGGGAATTGGATTACAGTTACTTTGTTCAAATAAATGGATTAAACACAGAGGGATTTTACTGTTTACACATTTTGGGCAAAATCCTTTTTATTATTATTATATATATATATATATATTATTATATCATTATATATCATTATATATTATTATATATATTATTATTATTATATATATATTTATATATATTATTATATATTATTATATATTATTATATATAAATATAATATATACTATATTATATATTATTATATATTATTGTATATTTCAGTTATTTGTCTCTTTGCCTTAAACTCAAACAGAACGTGACAAAAAGAGCCACAGAAAAACATCTCGTTAAAGTTGGTGATGTCACATAAAAGACGAACTCAAAGAACCAACAGAAACCAGGACTAAACCAGGACTAAACCAGGACTAAACCAGGACTAAACCAGGACTAAACCAGGTCAAAACCAGGACTAAACCAGGACTAAACCAGGACTAAACCCTAAACCAAACTAAAACCAGGTAAACTAAAACCAGAACTAAACCACCAGGCTAACCAGGACTAAACAGGACTAAACCAGGACTAA